AAGTATCTTATTTACGTTAGTTGTTTTTATGTTTCAATGCATTCTATAATTATTGCACTTCTTCGAATCAAAACAATGGCAAAGCTCATGCCTTCACATTTTATTGTAGGGTATATATAGAAGCTAAATTACTCATATTGGGTTTGTTTTCTTTTTGTGGTTATTTCAATCCTTTTTATTTTTTTTTTACTTGGAAGCAATTCCTTAGTTGCGGGGTGGAGTTGGAAGTAATTCTTTATTTACTTCGAAGCAAGAAGCCCAAGGATAATTGAGATTTAGGTTTGAAATTTGAGATATGGTCTGAAATTATATCTTGTATGTGCTATGAAACTAGGTTTGTAGTTGAGATTTAGTAATTTTATTTTTGAATTAGAAAATAATGTTTATGCATGTTGTGGTTATGGCTTATGGGTGTTGGATCTTTTGGTAAGGAATGATATGAGTCTGAAAACATCAAAAGAAAACATGATATTTGCTTAAACCAATAATCTTGCATTGGTTGACGAAAGAAATATTTGTAGAAATTGGTAGCTTTGTCTTCTACTTATCGTTTAAATTGCGCGGATTCTCTTTTAGTGATCAAAGCAACGACAAAGGAATGCACCCATCCAAGTATAATTGGCGGCTCCTTTTTAACTTCATTACTCCAAAATTTTAAGTCGTTCATTAATCCAAATGTATGTGCTCTTATTTTAGTGTTGCTATAAATGTAGTGGTTATTGATGAGCTATTATAGTGGAGAAACGTACACTCTATAGGGTCTATACATCATCTTGCAACTTAACAATAACATCTTTCTTCAATTTGTTTCATTTATCTCTTGGCATATGAGATCCACCAGTAAAGAATATTAATTCACAAACTATAGATTATGGTCATTTTCTCATTGTGAAGTGGATTGTGTTGCCATAGGAGAGATTTTTGTAGAGTACGCATTATATTTGTAATGAAACACACAAATTTGTGGGCATTAGGTAGTTATATCCCTTCTCTTATCTCTATACAATTTTTCAGTTTCATCTCTTTCTCACTCTCTCTCTATTAGTTGATTATTATTGTGGTTGGTTTGTTATATGTTTTTGAGTTTAATTATATTGTAAGTTAGAATTTTAGGTATCATTGTCTTGGGGAATAGCTAAGATTGGATTATCGTTCAGGACAAAAAAGAAGATTAGGATATGATTGAATGTGTCTAATTATTTTTGACATAATAACGGTTACTTGATTAGCACATGATCATAGTTTGGTTATTGAGAGAGAATTGGTGAAAATGGACTTTAATTTTTTGACTTTGGAATTTAGGACACATTGTAAAACTGGGTGTGCTTTAGACTTTCTTCAAGTTGAAAAGTTCGATGTGAATTGTGTATATGGATACGTAAGTGAATACTTTTTCTTTCTTTGGAAATTTTTTGTCATGTTTTTTAGCGTTGTTATGAAATCAATTGATGCAAATACATGGTAAATTAATTGTGCTTTCATTTTGCTAACTCTTACCTATTTATAGTTTTACGTTGGTTTCATTTCAAATTATCTAAGCTTTGGATGTAATAGATCAAAGTACATTTTTTCAACGTAAAATCAATAGAGTTCCAAGAAGTGATTAAGCACCATTATTGAGAAGGGGCGTTTGTGATTGATTTTGGTTGGATGGTTATTGGTGTGGTCACATGAGAGGCTTTTTTTTAATAAGAAGTGAGTCTCTTTTCAAGTTGTGGTTTATAAATATCTTTAATATGTTGTTGACGAGAATTGGTGTTGTGTGACTATGTACAGAGTTGGGTTAAAGGGTTCTTGCTTGACTTCTCCTTTGAACCCTCACTTTTTTTACCGGTAGAATTATCTTCATCACTCTTAGACCCAATATTGTCTTCTAACCGTAATCAAACTTTATGAATTTTAAATACTTTGTCATTGATCGCATTAAACCTTGAATCACATTATCGAAAACTTGATTTAACAAATGAATACGGAATATGTTGAATTTTTTGTTATGACCTTTACATTTGATTTTAGTTTTACTAAATTATTATTTTTTGCTTAGTTTTGGTATTTAAAGTAACTTAATATTGAAATCGGATAACTCTTCATTTGACTAATCTCAATGTGGAGCTGTTTCAGGTGCTATTTTTGATCATGCAGGTGTTGATATTATGCGAAATGCTATGGAATCAAAACGGAACTAGAGCTTAAATTATCATAGAAGCCTTAATTATTTTTTTTTGTCTTTTTTTTTGTTATTATGTTATAAATGTTATTTTGGGTATGAAATGATATTTGTTATGGTGGTTGGGTATGTATTGATGATTGTGGTAGTATGATGTATTATGATAATTGTTATGTATGATTGTAAATTCTGTAGACAAGTTTAGATTTTTCTAGACTCTTATTTTTAGAGGAAATTTTGTCTAAATTTCTGAAAAATAGTAGGGATTATCTTGATTTCAATTTCTTATATTAAAGCAAATGAAATAGAAATTATTTCAAATTGACGATTTGTTTTAGATTGTAAAGTGCCTTTAGGCAATCTAATATTCTTCGAATTTTAATTATTCCAAGTGAAATCTGTCTGGCACCTTTTGGCACATGATATGAGAAGGAATCATCTAATCTAGAGATAATAATCTTAACTCATTATTCATTAATCCATCAAATCTGTCCAAAAATAAATGGGTTGGGTACTTATATTAATTAATATGAGTTTTAAATGTGTTAGATAATATGATTTATTTCAATTAAGCGAGTTAATATAGATTACAAATGGGTACCGATTAGGTTGAGTATTTATCTTTTTATTAAATAGCACTAGTAATAAAATTAAATAAATATATTAATATATCAAAAAATATACACACACAATTACACCAAAAAATATACACTAATACACTAAAACATACCCACATTAGTACATCAAACACACACACTAATACACCACTCATGACCCATGGGTCGACCCATGACCCACAAGTCAATCCACAACCCACGTGTTGGCCCGTGACCCATGAGTCATGGGTTGACCAACCCATAGTTCACAATTGACCCCGATCTATTATGTGTATTTTTTTTATTAAATGTGTTTTAGTTTTTGTGTTATTATACGTGTGTATATTTTTGGTGTATTAGTGTGTATTTTAGTGTATTAGTGTGTATATTTTTAGTGTAGTAGATTGTGTGTGTTTTGGTGTATTAGTGTGTGTGTGTGTATGTTTGTATCTTGGTATACTATTAATGTGTGTGTTTTTGTTTACTAATGTATCTATTAAAAATTTTAATTATTTTATGGGTTAATCGGTTTAACCCAACCTGTTATAAATCCAACTCATTATAACTCATTTACTACGTGAGCGAAAAATAGATTGAATTTATTTTAACCCAATCTAATTTAACCCAACTCATAATCAACTCAACTCACTTATTTGTCACCTCTAATTTGATCTGTCTGATGAGCCACTGAAATGCCCCTGACACAGAAGACTATGGTAGTTGTTCAACATCTTTTGAAGGATACTCAATTCCCATCACTTGTATATGATTACTACTTCTTAAATCAAACCCACACTTAAAGATGCCCTATAAATACCCAACATAAATGAGGAGTATGGGTAAGTAACACAAAGAAACAATGGCTAGCAAAGTATTCATCCTTTTTACATAAATACTTTCTCTCACTTATATAATAAATTCAATCACTGACTTAGGCGTTAGGAAGAGATTCGGTTGGTCTCACACCGGTGCCGAATCATCCTCGTGGGAGGATTGTTAGTTTCTTTCTTGACATGATTTTGACCTCAAGATTTGTAAGGTCATCACAAATCTTGCAAAGAGAAAAATTGTCACATCTCGCATCTCACAATTCGCCCCCAACTAGTCTCCTATGAACTCAAATGCACGTTCGCCATGCAAGAGCTTATCCATCAGTTGGTATCGTCTGTGGGAACAACACTAAGTTCCTATTCTTACTCTTCAAGTTCTAGCATAATCTATCTTCAGTCAAAAGAAAAGAATGCACCTAAACTATGCCCGTATATATAGATAAGGGTAATGACGGGATCCAACCCAATCCTAAGAAGGCACCCAAAAGATTGCGACATGTAGCATCGTGGGAGCCTAACCATCATGAGTTGGTGGGACAACATTCATGACACTGCTATCACGTTTTTGAAAAATTGTCACTTATTCTTTCATGTTTCAAAAATAAAACCGTCATTTTTGATTAGCCGCTAATAACTAACAAGGAGAAATAAAGAGACTGGTCATTAGAAATGGGGGCAACTAATGGATAGGGTCCAAGAATATAGATCGGCAGACATGAAGGCGAGGTAAAGCGACACCGATTCATAGGTAACAACCTATTAGCATATTCTAGCACATGATGCGACAAGGAACCATCTCACATGTCCGATGAGCCAATGACATGCCCCAAACAATGATGAGTATGATAGTCAGTCAACATCCCTTCAAGGACACTCAATCTTCATCACTTGTGAGTGACGACTACTTCAGAAAACAAACCCTCCCAAGATTTGCTATAAATACCCCTCATAAATGAGGAATAGAGAGTAAATAACAAATAGAGAAACAATCGAGCAATGACTAGCAAACCATTCATTCTCTTTACATAAACGCTTTCTCCCACTTTTACATGAATTCAATTATTGACTTGAGCGTCAGAAGAAATTCAGTTGTTATCACACCAGTGGCCTCTTTGTTAGTTTCCTCGACAGACTTTCAACCTCAGGATTCCATGGAAAGTAAGGCGATCACAAATCTCACAGGAGAAAAACTATCATTCTGCTAATCTATCCTTGCACCTTGCCCTAACGAGCCTCCCACAATTATACTGGTGTATAATTCTCCATATACACCAGTATTCACAAAATTAGATCCCCCCGCTTAAAGTTTTGTATTAAAATGTATTTTATAATCACATTTTTACATTGAAAAATACAACTTTAAATCACGCTTTCATAAGAAATAAGGAAAACAATACGGTAAAGAGGGAATAAGTTAAAAAAGAACAGTAAAATAATGATGGATTCTGTGTAGTTAAAGTTCGTCCTAGAGAAATATAGAAGAACTCACTAATCTTACAAGGAAACGAAAACAAGCAAAGGACAGACCAAAGACATTACACTTATAGATGAGTTGCTGCCTGATAACTGCTAATCTTGCTGGTTATAACAAAAACCGAACACCTTGGGAAACAGAATTTCCAAAAGAATCAGAGCTGAAAGTACATATGAATTCTACACCTCTGTATCCCATCATGGCTTCATTATCTGATCTCTTTGCACATTCACATAAATCCGGCAGAATTGGGGCCGGGGAAGAGATGAACTAAACAGTAAAAAGTAGGGAAATAACAAATATTGGGTAACCCTGGTCCAGAATTGATGTTCTGAAAGATGAATATGCCGCCAAAGGCATGCGTTAAACCGGAAGCCAATCTATGCCTTGGACTCACCAAGCTCAATATCCTTCACAGGAGTGTTTTCTACTCCCTCCTTCAATAGTCTGATTTCTTCTTCTGTCAAGCTGTTTTTGGTGTGGGATGTGATTTTGGAAGTGGACTGCTTTCCAACCTCCATCGCCCAGCTATAAATTACCATGCCAATAACTGCAATCATCATTCCCATGATGTTCTTAAAAGTCAACTCTGAATCAAAAAGCAGCCATCCCAATGTAAGTACACACACTGTCTTCATGTGACCTAAGACCTGGAAGGAAACAGCCGAGAACCGTCCAATGCAAAGGTACTGACTCACATTGCAGAAAACTGCTAGGGAGCATGAAAGGAGTATAAATAGCTGCACATATTGCCACCACTCATTAGATGCATTACATGAAAGTCATTCTGCCCAGAAATTCATCTACACACATACCATGCATGTGTAGATAGATATAAAACACAAATTACTGTCAATATGTGCAATTCATATGTAGATAGAATAAGATTGGGGAAAAGAAGAATGCTTACAATGGCACCAGAGGACCACTTGTAGTTTGATATAAACTTTCCATTGAGATAGTAGTCCACAAAAGGACCCAGCAATAGGAGAGAGAGTGCTTGAATAGGAGCTGTTTTACTCAACAATTCAAATGATCCAATTGAATACTTTTTCTGTAAGGAACCTATAGACTGCACGACAAACAATATTGGCCAATCATAAATCTGAGATATAAATTAAAATCTGAGATATATAAATCTAGATATAAATTAAAATCTGAGATATAAATTAAAATCTTTCTTCCCAAAAAATAAAAGAGAGCAATACCCCAGCATAATGTAATGTGTAATATCGTTGCAAAATGGCAAGACAACTGGCAAGTTTTGTATATGTAGGTTATATATAACGGAGGCGAAAAGTAAAATTCCAACTGACATCAAGAAATCCATATTAAAATGCAACTCTAGAAACAAAGTACTTTCCACTCTTCAATAAGGCTTGCTCACACTACAAACTCTTCACTCAAGTCCAGCCCTAAGACACATTAAGATATGACTGACAAGCTTGGTTACTCTATCGGAGCACAAATATATTGTTGCATGTTTTTCAGAATTAGGCATGGAAAGAAAGCCTATTAGATGGTATAAGTATAACATCTAATTTGCAACGACAATAATTCCCTCTTCCCAACTTTCTCACTTCCCACCCCTTATTCTATAGGCATGTTACAACTGAGAATGACATAAACAGCATATTACATATTTTTGGGATAAAATTTGGAATGTTTTGGTCACAGATTATACTCTATGAGTTTAGAATGATTTAGCTATCAAAATTGACACATCAAGTAGTTTAGAACTATGGTAAATTTTAATAAAATAATGTCAAGATAATGATGACATCATAGTTCATCCTGGGATGAGAATCACATGTACTCACAATTTGTTGCAACGATGTCGATAGTACTGCTACACAAGCACACACAAAACCTTTGGCATTAACTTTGACATCAGTCACAGTGCAAACACCCACACCTATAACCACAACCACAACGGACATTTTAACTTCCCTCGTGTAATGTTTATTATGAAGGATCCACTCCATCACACAAACCACTGGAATCATACTCAGTTTTGAGATCTACACAACAAACACAATACTATATTAGCAAATTAGGGAAAGGAACAATGTGAAAAACAATTTAATAAAAGGCAGGAACAACAGAAGATAAGAATATATTGTAATGCCAATGGTGGAATCTTTGGTGAGTCTTAAATGCTTGAGAGAAGGGAACGTTAAAGTTCAAATCAAGCTTTCTGTTGTCACTCCACTTCTCTTACATCTCTGCACATAATTCTTCGAATGTTTTATTTATTTTTTATAGGATACACAATTTTATTGATAATCAAAAAATCATACAATAAAGTCAAAACAAGTGTGGATGAGCAGTCCAAACAAAAACAGATATAAAACATAAAACAGTGAGTAAATTACAAGCCACCTCATGCCTTCCAGCTTGCCTTGATACAAAAGAGAGGAATATCTTCAAAATTCTTAGAAGTTGATGCCCAAAAAAAAATGCCAAAAAACAAATTCTATCCCATAAATCCTCAATCTCTTCACTCTTATCCTCAAACGCATTCATTTCCTTCCAAATCACCCAAAGTGTTGCAAAGACAACACTATTCCAAATAATCTTCGATCTACCATTCCTTTCAAATCCCACATTATCCATGCAAAACATTGAAATCATAGTCTTTAGAGCAACCCAAGAGAAAAATAAAAAATCTTGTTCCAAAGTATTCTTGCCAAAAGACAATGCAAAAAAAGTGATCAATATTCTCATTTTCACTCCTATACATAACACACCATTGCGGTTAAAGGCAATGATTTGGTCTCCTCTTTTGTAGAATCTCATTAGTACTAATCTTCACATGAGAAATTATCCATGCACAAACTTGCACCTTTAAAGGCACCTTCACCTTCCAAATCTTCAATGATGGTTCAACAAAAAGAATTAACAGATCATCAATTAAAGACTTGAAAAAAGATTTACAAGAGAAAAGCCTCATCAAACTACCCATCCAATACCTCATATCCTCAGAATTTAAAATCAAAGAAACATTATAAAGCATAAAAAGGAAAACCATCATCTCAGTAAAAACGCTCTATCATTGAGATTCCTACGAAAACCAAAATCCCAAGAAACCGGATTAGCATACGATTGAGCCATAAAAGCAACTAATTGACTTTGATAACGAGAGACACAAAACAATATTGGAAATACTAAAAACCATAATTATTAGTACCGTACGATATGCCATACATATCACTTAAGTGTATTGGTTTGCATCGTATCATGCAATATACAATTCGATACACCTGATATACTAGATGATACTTACAAGTCGTTTGATATAAGACAAAACAGATCAAAAAAATTTATTTTGAATTTTAACTAGAAAAATACAGACCTGTTTGATTTGCATATCAAAAAATAGCATTCGAAAAGAGTTATAGAAAAAAAAAATTTATGTTTTTTGGGAAGAAAAAATTGTTTGGTTAGATAAGTTCAAAAATAGTTTCACATAATGGAAACTGTAAAATCTGTTTGGACAAAAACTCAAAATTGAATACAATTCTTTGATTTTGGAAAGAATGCATAATTTTCTTCATCACAAATAAAATCAATATAAAAAATATACAAAACAAATAAAAAACCATATGTGAAAAAAAAAAATTATTGGATTTGTTTGTGTGTTCCGCCAGGGTCTGTGTTCGTTCTGCCCGCCTATGTGTTCGAAGTCAGATTTGAAGCCAAATGCAAAAAAAAAAAAAAAAAAAAAAGAAGAAGAAACGTGAGAAGAAGATCTGAATTTAGATGCAAAAAAAAGAAAACGGATGTGTGTGTTCATTCCTTGTGTGTGTATGTGTTCAAAGTCAAATTTGAAGCTAGATGCAAAAAAAAAAAAACCCGAGAAGATCTTGGAACCCAGATCTTGAGAATACACCGGAGAAGATGCTGGAGATCATCGGAGAAGACCGATCGTCTATGTGTTTCGTCTGGTTTTTGCCGAAGTGGAGAGAGAAATTTGGGGAGTGGGAGGAAAAAAAAAAAAGAGGAAAACAATAAAAAAAACTTTTTTATATTAGAATCTGTTTTGGTGCTACTCATTTTCAAAGGGGAGACCTCATTAAAGGGGTGTTCTCCTTGTTTTCCTTTTTCCTTTCTTTTGCCTCTAAAACACCCAAAACAAGCTGAACTTGTTTCTGATTTTTTGTTTTTTACATTCCTCTTTTTTCGAAAATTGGAGAACAAAAAACTAAAACCAAACAACTTCTCCTTATTTTTAGAGTTTTGAGAACAAAAAACTGTATTCAAAAACCAAACCAAATAGCCCCTACGTCTTTTTACTTGGTAGTAAATTTTTCAAACATTAGGTAATAAAACAACATTGTTTCACCATCTACAATTTTTAAGAAATAAAAGTCTTCTTTTTATTTGTTCCATTTTAGAAACAAATAGTTTGTTAAAAGTGTCCCCCTTTGACTACTTTAGATGTTCAAATTAGAACTCTCTAAATTTTGATATTAATAAATTATGTTAGAAACTTCAATACTTAGATTGCCAATTTTTTTAGTTTAGTTCTTGTAGCCTCTTTGAATTATTTTTTGTGAGAAATTTGTAGTTCAATGAAATGTTATTATGACATTTTGTCATAGATATATGTATTTTTTAATATCTTTTACAAAATTACCCTGTTTTTAAAAAGCAATATGCCTTCCGATATACATTTTGATAACCTTGATAAGAACTACATACTCCAATCCAACAAAGCAATTCCTCAAACCTAAGGGGACTTTCTAATACTGAAATCCTAGTCAAAAGCGAATTTCTATGACCCATGCAACTCACCATAGAACGACACACTATCCTAACCTTCTTGTGTACCAGCTTGCTATCACTCTTACTGGTAGCCCTTTCTTTCTTTGAATCCCAAAAAAGATTCAATCCTTGAGAACCTTCAAGCAATAACTTGTAAGAGAAGAAAGAAACACAATTTAGAAACAAAGGAAGCAACATCAATTGAAAGGAATGGGAGAGAAACCAGTAATATGGTTCGGCCATGTGAAACAAAGACCAAAATAACGAAATTGGAGCAAACCAGTGGTATGGTCCACCTTCAATATAATGTTAGAGGAAAATGCAAACCAAAATTAACATGAATTAAAACTTAGTACGATATCTAGTCGCAATAATTACCATTGTGAAAAATAAAAGTAGGAAATGTTAAATACTCAAAGTCACAAGATATGGTGTGTGGACTCAACTCAGAAAACATAGCTATAGATATTGTTTGGCCGAGCTTATCATGTTGTCCACCGGAAAGAAACCATTAAGGATCCATAGCTACCTATGTATATACTTGCAATAACTAAACTAAACTCAACCAATTCTTGTCCCAACTATTTGAGTCCGCATTGTTTTCCAACTATTTGAGTCTGTACTATTTACAACAACCATATAATTAGAGTTGGCTTTAAAGAGCACCTTTTGCATAAATTCATTAACCCAACCCTTTCTAAGTATGGTCCAATTGCAAACAGAGTGAGTGAAAGACAATTGAGTAGTGGAAGAGAATAAGTCCACTTTGCACTGCATCTTATATAGTGTGAGAATCAATTTGTGTACACCTCCATACGTTTCAAATATAATATCACGACAATCTGTTGCTCTGAGATATATATACCTTTTTTTTATGAACACACTCAAGGGCATATATGCAAATTCTAAATATACTTTAGCCAATATCATAATGCAATCGCAAGGGCCCAAGAAGACTGACAAGTCCAAGCACCACCTCCAAAAGGACCTAACCTTTGAAGGAGCGGATGAGAGTTTCTAAGTCAACCTAAAACTCCTGCCATAACCGATGTGGGATTTCAGTTCATCCTTTCTTTTTTTATGAAGAGACAAAAAGGGATGCATGCAAATTCTAAATATATTTTACCCAACATCATCCTGTACTCTCAAGAGCCCAAAACAACCAACAAACACAAGTCCAAGCGCCACCTCTATACTTTGCTTATGAGATAGAGAAAATAAATGAAGAAAGACACAGTGCCATAAATGATGTGAGATTTTAGTTCAGTCTTTCTTTTTTTGATGAACAGACACAAGAGAATACATACAAATTTTAAATATATTTTACCCAACATCATACTACAGTCGCAAAAGCCCAAGAAAACCAATAAACCCAAGTCCAAGCACCACCTCCATACTTGCTTATGAGATAAAGAGAATAAATGAAGAGAGGCAAATGGAGCAGAGTATTGAACAAAAGGGGGAGAGGAAAGAGATAAGAGAACAACCTATCATTTTTCTTTCCCTCTTTTTGGGACATCAACTTATGCATAATCAGCCGAGTCTAATGAGTTTTGACTTTTGATTGTGTATCTCTAATGGAATGACAGTAGTACCCATTCTTGTGACTCAAATTTATTACATCATCTCATATCAAAACTACAAAACCACCCCCCAATAAAGCTACATGTTTGGTACAATATTACAACTTAAGTGACTGAATGTCGAAACGATCGTGAACATGTAAAACACCTAATAACAACCTAGAACATACAAAACTGCCAAAAAATGTAAGCCAAAATGGAAATATCTACAATTTTGTACGTTTTGTACTAATATGAAAAGTTTCAACAATGATAGGTCCAAATTAAACGACACTCAAAAATGGTCTAGAAGGTCCAAAAAAACCTGAAAAAGCAACCCAAGTAGAAGTAACATCAATTTTGTATTATGTTGTTGTAAAAGGAAATGTTCGACTGACACAAAATTGTTTTCATGGTTTTGAAATGTACCTTGTTGAATTTACATATAACAACATTTCTTTTGGTATCATTTATTCGCCCCCTTTTCTTGTTTATTGTGGTATGCTTAGTGCAAAGGGTTACACATTCTTCTCTTACCAAGTGGAGTAATATACAACATATTACCTTTGTATATAAATAATGTCAAATTTAATCTAACATGCCATCAAGCAAGTGTTTCTGGTATTCTGGTTAGCTCAAACTCACTAGTCGTGTGTCACCTTAAATGAACAAGATTCAAGGAAGGAATGCATGAACAAAGAGAAAAGAGATGTTACATATGCCTCAATTGAATTAATCCACAACCAAAGA